ACATAAGCCTGTCATTCGATGAAATGGCTATACGGAGGCACATTCAATGGATACACAATGAAAAACGTTTCAGTGGTCTTGTTTCATATGGTCAACGTGATACTGACGAGATTCCTATTGCGAATAATGCCATTTTTTTCTTAGTCACAATACTTAAGACAGGTCAATCACTAATTTTGGGCTATTTTTTAATTAAAACATTGAATACATTAGAAAAGTCGCAATTAATTCAAAGTGCAATTGATGAAATTAAAAAAACTGGCACAATATTAATAAGCATTGCATTTGATGGCCTTGTAACTAATTTTTCTGCTTGCGAATACTTGGGAGCATCGTTTGATGTTAATAATTTCAAACCATTTTTGAACGATTCGATCACCAAACAAAGAATTTGCATTGTCTTTGACCCTCCCCATGCTCTGAAGCTTGTGAGAAATTGTATATCCGCTAAAGGTCATTTGAAAGATGGTGATAATAATGATATTGCTTGGTTTTATTTCGAACGACTTGTTATGAAAGAAGATAACCCGGTTTCACATAAAATGACGAGAAAACACCTCTATTTTGGTTCCGATAAAATGAACGTTGAATTAGCAGCACAAACGTTATCTTATTCTGTAGCAAATTCAATGGATATGCTGAGAATTAACGGCGATCCACTTTTTCTAAACAGTAGCGGTACTATAAATTTTGTAAAGAATTTTAACAAAGGTTTCGATATTTTCAATTCTAAGCATACCGACTCAAATAATTTATTTAAAAGGGGACTAACAGAACAAAACTCAGAAAAAATATTTAAATTTTTGAGATATTTTACCATATACATAAAATCATTGAAATTGAATGGTAAAAATATTTTAGAAACTGCACGAAACACCGGGTTTCTCGGGTTTTTGATCAATATATCTACACTGTACTTCCTTTATACGGAATTTGTAGTGACAAAAAAAATTGAAAATATCCTATTCTATTATTTTGGTCAAGATATGCTCGAAAGTTTATTTTCAAGGATACGCTCTATGTTGGGGGCCAATACAAATCCTACTGCTCAACAATTAAGTGGAGTTCTGCGACAACTCATTGTACTGAGAGAGATTGAAGCACCAGAAGATGCGAATTGTAAAGACAATTTGAATATTTTAACTGTTTCCAGTGTTTTTGTGCGAAATGAAAGTTTGGTTGCAATTGGCCCAATGCAAGTGCACCTAAGTGATGACAAAATTGAGGTATTTTCTAGCTTAAATCTCAATTTCAAAGATTTGTACACAATAAAATTCCGTGCTGGCACAATAGAAAGAAAAATTAGACACGCTATACCTCGTTGTACACACACTGAATGCAAAAATATTTTTACCAATAATTCTGACAAAATCGAAGGTACTTTTTTTGAAAATGGCTTAGCGCAAAGGCCAACAAAAAGCACTGTTACTATATGTGAAATTATTTATAAATTTTTTTTGGTTTTTAGTGATATTTTTGATTTTCATTATAATGTATTTTATGCACATGTTTTAGAGAGCATTCCATTTCAGGAATTATATTCACACATTGATTTTTCCCATGATGTACAACACAAATCACAGTTTATTTTGTTAATCATTGATGAGTATATCAGAATGCATGCTACATACATAGCTCGAATCACTACTATAAAAATGCATTCCAAATTTTATGGAAAAACAGCACAAAAAGTGAAGCACTTTTCTGGTCAATAACTAAATTGTAGATGTGCCTTTTTTATGTAAATGCGTGTAAATGTACTTTATTGTGATCGTTTGTGATTGATATTTGAATTATTCTAAAAATCATTGTAAATTTCTGTTGAAAAAATCAGGTTTTTACGGAGACGAATGTGCTCTTTTTGCCTGTTCAAATAAATGAAATGTCCAAATGACTGAATTGCCATACTTGAGAATAGCGTTTTAATTCGATTTCTATCTGCTGCGTGATATCACTGCAAGTAATTTTCATCGGCTAGTGAAGAATCGATTTTTATCGGCATCGGTCGGCATTCAAACTAAAGAACACCGCAACTGAGTAGATTGATGGGACGATTTTAATACGTAGAGTCTACAGCTCTCAGTGGCGAGATGTGCCCTACTTTTATTGGCACAAGAATTAAGAATTAGGATTTCAAATCGATTTCTATCTGCTGTGTAACGCAACCGAGAAATCAATTTCTATCGGCTAGCGATGAATTGGTTTTTATTGGCACTCATCGGCATTCAAAGAATTAATATCACAAGAATTAAGAAATCGGATTTAAATTAAATTTTTTTTTTCAATTTATTTTTATATTTATCAATATAATTCAGTACATTTTTTGTCAAAATTTTTCTTAAACATTATTCTAGTCATATTCTTCATTTTCTTTTTCTTTTTCCATTTTTTTAAATTATATTGAATTTTATTTTTTATTTTGCTTCAATTTTTCATTTTCTTCTTGTTTTTTTAAACATAATTCTAGTCATAGTCATAAGTATTCATTTTCTAGTCATTATTTTTTAATATAATTCAGTACATTTTTTGTCAACATTTTTCTTAAACATTATTATAGTCATAATCTTCATTTTCTTTTAATCAGTTGAACATTATTCTAGTCATATTCCAAATTTTCTTTTACTTTTTCCATTTTTTTAAATTATTTTCAATTTTATTTTTTATTTTGCTTCAATTTTTCATTTTCTTCTTGTTTTTTTTTTAAACATAATTCTAGTCATAGTCATAAGTATTCATTTTCTAGTCATTATTTTCAACATTAATCTAGTCAGGTAACGTTTTTTAGAGATGGGATTTGTTCATCAGAATCAGATCTCGTCATGGTAAAGTTTATGGGCTTCCATCGAAAATTTCGCGTGATGGCCGCGTGGTTTGTGTTTGCCAGTCAAGTAGTTATTCAAGTGTACACGCAACGCGCGGCGAGTTTTGAATTTTTTACAGATTTTACACTGAATATTCTTGACTGGCTTGGCCTTCGCGCAAAATTCGGCTCGATGATCCGTCATCGAACTTTTTTTGTCTGTGCTGTATGAACAGTCGGGGCACTTGTATTTCTTCGGCGAAGTTTCGAGCTTTACCTGAAATTTCACCTCGGGCTGCACCTCAGCTTTCACCTTAGTGGCAGCCGTTGGATTCATTTTGAGGTTTGGCTTTGGCTTCACGTCCAAAACGGCATCGAATTGTGTGGCCACGGTCTTTGTTTGTGAAGTGCCAAATTGTGTGGCTACGGTGTTGGTCTGTGAAGTGCCAAATTGTGTGGCTACGGTGTTGGTCCGCTTGGGTTGCAGCATACGCTTCAATTTTTCGATTTTCTCGCTCTTCTTGTCAGTTCGCGCCCATTCTGCTTTCAACTTTTCTTGCAAAAGCCGATTTCGTTCGGTTTTTTCCTGAACCACATCATTCAGACGAGTGTTTTCGGATCGCAGTTTGGCCAGTTCTACCCGCAAATCGTCATACGCCTGTAAAAATAACGATGCCAAAAAATAGTAAATTCGAATATTTTGTTCGATCTTGATTTTCGCTATTTCTGTCAAAGCGAAGAAATGATTCACACAAGATAAATAAATAAATGTAAACAAGACGAAAAATGACACAATAAACGACAATAAACAATGAATTCCCGAACTCTCGTTTGATCTACATAAACAAACAGTGCGTGTATAAATCTCTCGGTTTGCATCGAGTAGTTTCAATTGTGAAATGACGATCCAAAAAAAAACAACATAGATTTGAAGGTTATTTTTTTTCGTTGTGAAACATGTATTGTATGGTGGAATCGAATAGAAATCTGCAGCTGATATTTGACAAGAAAGACCATAGAGCGATTAAAAAAAAATAAGAAAAAAAACACACACACAATATTTGACTTGAGCAACTTAAATGAGTAAAATGTATAAATGTGTATCACCGATTCGATTTGAAGTGCATAGATTGTCGATTTGATCAGATTTGATTTTTTTTAACAACCGAAAACAACAATTCAAAAACTTATCATTAATTGCTCTAAGCGGCTCCAACGATATTGTTTAAATGAATTCAGTGGCTGCCGATAGAGAGAGAGAGAATGAGCGAGAATGAGTAAGAATGAACCGAAATGAATATGGGAACGAAACCAAAACAAAACAACTACGAAATGTGAACACTGTGTATAAACCGCTATCGACCGCTATGAACAAACACTTTTTTTCTTTTTGGCGAACACACAAACAAATCATGCTCCACATTTTGAAACAAGAGTGTGGATAACAGAGGCACACATAGGATACTTACATTCATCCATGCAATTTTCCACTTCACATCTAGCGACAACGTTGGTGTTGATGTTGGTGCTAACTTTGGCGATGGTCGATTAGCATTTGCGAGTGCTTTTATCACCCGATTGAGTTTCTCAATCGGTTGCGGCATCTGAAATGAAATGAATGCAAGTAAACTGTAATTACCGATCATTACTCGTTGGTAATAGATGTAAATCAAAACAAAAAAAACACAAAAAAACAGCAATCTTACCTTTTATTTGTTCCGATTTGCTCCAAATTTATCCGAATTTATCTGCTCGGTTCTGTTTCTGTGTTTGTTGTCACCGGTTGTCACTGCTGGCTTGTTTGTTGTGTACGGTGTGGTGCGGTGTATCCAGCTGACTAAAAATGTGTTGCGATGTGTTTTGACAGCACAATTGGCGCGATTGGCGAAAATGTGCGTTTTGGTATCGGTTGACATTGAGTGCGTTCAACACTGAATGCATTCTATGTTTTCGTTTATAGTACATATAGCATATTTTTATCGGCTCCGATAAAAACAGAAACGAACAGAAATATAAATTTAATATTCAAAAGAAATTATATCGGCTGAAAGTGAATGGACAACAATTAATATATCAATTTTTATTGTGCGTGTTTTTAAATATAGATTGAGAATTTATTTATATTCAGATAATTCAATAACAAATTGTTAACGGCCGATAGAATCCGATAAAATTGAAAATCATTCTCATCTGTTCTCATCTAGTCATCGTATTCTATTTCATTTGGTGGTGGTGTTATTGTCGGCTGGCGCGTTGATGAATTGCTTGTCGATGGCTGGTCATTTTCATTGGTTCCAGTGTTATCATCAACAGTTTCTGGGTCCAACATTTCATCCAGCGATTTCCAAACCAAACGCGACCCAAAGAACTCCATTACTTCAACGGAAAAATTTTTCGCTGCTTCCCAATCAATTATTTCATTTTGTCGTTCTCCTTTGTAACGGACAAGAAAATATTTTTTTCCATTGCGTTCCCCGCATCCAATGATTTCATCAAGAACTTAAAAAACATTCACATTGCAATTAAAATTCGGTAAAATTGAGTAGAATGGAAATAAGAAATGTCGAGAAATTTAACCTTTTTTACTTTGAGCGGTGTTTTCGTTGAACTCGATTATCAATTCAAGGCAAGACTGTAGGCTTTCAACCGGTTCCCAAGTTGCCTCTTCCTCTGGATAACCAGTCCATTTTACGCGGTACTTTTCCTGAATACATACATCAAATTCGATCGAATTACATTGCGAATTGAGTTTTTTTTATTGACGATTCCCATTGAACAAAATACGAAAATGCTATCAATTGAATTCAAAATTACCTTTCCTCTTATCACACGCCGACCGATGATTGCTTCGACTTCGTATTCACGGCTCATTTTTCGGATTTTTTCAACGAAAATGAAGATAAATAAAACACAGATTGAAAATAGCTACGATTTATTAAACAAAACTGTTTTTTGAATGCAATCGAATGCAATTTTTGCAACAATTCGGTTTATTTCATTGGAGTGATTTTTTCTTGTTCTTAATGCATCGAAATGCAGATGAATACTAAAAAAATGGCGCGAAATATGTATATTTATGACAGTTATGAGATTGCAACAAGTGCTCCGTACACAGTGTACGGCAGTGTACTACACTGTACACATAATTCGTAATGAATTGATTTGACAGAATTTGATTCGATTTGATTTTTTTACGGGCGTCATGTTGAACGCGCACGGCTACGGACTGCCGCTCTGAATGCCACTGGTCTATGCACGACTCCCTGATACCACGGCCTTTCGTTTTCTTTATTTCTGTCATCACTTTCCCCATCAGGATTGATCACCACTTTTGATAGCTCCATGATATTTTCTACGAATTCAGAAGAAAAAATTGGTCATTATTTTTATCGGCAGTTAAAATCGGTTAAAATTGCATAAGTTTCTAAAGTTTTATTCAAGGCCGATAAAATAAGCTGTATGTTTCTTATTCCAACATCTGTTTCCACACTATTTCACCACATTTACACCATCGGAGCAGATAGAAATTGAAACTTAGCGCATCAAAATCGCCACACATATGTTTTGGAATATTTCTATCGGCCAATAATGGTCGAAAGTAATCCAAACAGTCTTGACCATTTTGCCTTTTATTTGCTACAATGAACAAATCGTTTTAAAAAAAGCAATTACCATCAGTAATTGGATTGGGCGTAGTTTCTTCGTGATGTTCGTGAGACACAATTGTCCGGTCGCTGTCGAAGCTGTCATTAGCAATCATTTCATCAGATCTTTCCGCTGTTTCAGCGGTTTCAGGTCTTTGCCAACTTCGAAACTGTGGTGCAATGAATCGCTGTCGCGCCAGAATCGACTCCAGATTATTCAGACCAGTTGTGATGACTTGATCCAAATTGGTTCGATTTAAGTTAACAGTCGATGAACCAACCTGGGAATCATTATTAACCACATTTTGATCTGAATCATCTGAAAAAAAAGTTTCGAAATTTAAAAAATCAAAAAGAAATATTTTGCCAACATTTCCGAATATTTCCATTGATTTCTATCGGCGCCACAGAACAAATCAAAACGAATCAAAACAATTCGGTAAATAACCATCAATTTTGAATAGATATTTTTATCTGCGCCGATAAAAATTTGATTTTAATCGCTTACAGTTTCTTCCATACGGGAGAGAACGGCGACGGGCCAAAATTTTGGATAGATTTTCGAAGCCATCTGAGATTGAGTCACCTAGGTCTTTTCGAGCCGTATCGGCTTTCACTCTCGATTCTTCATCGGGTTCAGACGATGAAGATGAGTACACCAGATGCAATGATGAGCTGTCGTCCGTGTCATCTAAAAAATGTATGGAATTAGATCAAATTAGAATTAAATTTGTATCGGCGCTTATAAAGAACAAATACGAAAGTGGTAGTTATTTATTCTGTGGCCGATAGAAACGATTTTTACCTTGGGCCAATGGTGGATTTGTGGCATCGTTGGTTTGTGGCGCGACTTCATCCAATTCATCCATCATCATAGCATCAAAATCATCAGAGAATGATGTCGGCGAATCAGCTCGTTGTACCGGTTGTACAAATTCCGAAAGTCGGCGCCTTTCGTTTATCTGTTGCGCGTGTGTTGGAGCCGGCATTGAAAGGCGACGTTTTCGCTTTTTCGGTGGTACCATCAAAGTGAGACGCGCTTCCAATTCCGGGCATTTTTTCACAAGAACGCGCACATTCGTGAACAACCGGGCAATTCTTTCTGGGTTTTCGAAGTTGGCTTCCTTAAATGTAGCTATCACAGAACGTGTCACTAATGAAAGAATCGGAAAAAATTGATGTTTCAAAAATATCTATAAATTTTTTCGACAAACTTACGTTTACGTTCAGCCATTTTTTCTGATTTTTTCGATTTTGTTTGATTAATATTATGAACGATTATGGATACCGGTAAATACACACGATGTGTAACACTGCGCACTAGAAACAAAACCGAACAAAACAATTTTTTCCATTCTCACTGAGATTCACACAAGATGATGAATCGCTTAACATATGCGCAAGTTGACGCATCATTAAACGCACTCAATACACTGTATAAATTTTCAATATGGTAGCGCCCATTGTGTACGACAGTGTGAAGAAGAAGAAGTAGTAGCATCAACAAAATGTGTATGGGTTTACATAGGGACGGGGAACTGTGGAAAGTTGCTGTAACGTCGCCAAATACGACGAACATTTGCAAGTAGAATTGTGATAGGTCATCTTACCGTGTGCGAATTCATTCATTAGATTGTTTATTGGTTTTCGTATCAAGTATCATAAAGGGTGTCCCAATAGCAACGCAAAAAAGTATTTATAAAAAAAACAATGAAAATAGTTTCCAATTTTCCAAATCTTTATTGTATGTTGTAGTTTGGTCTTTACCATTTATGTATGAAAAAGAATATCGTGTAAATGTCCACCACGGCTCTTTTCACAGACCTTCAGCCGCTTGCCCAAATTTTCAATTACAGATTCGAGTAATGGCACATTTACGGTGGCTATGACACGTCTGATTTCAATTTTCAGCTCGGCAATGGTGCTTGGTTTGTTGGCATAGACTTTATCCTTGACGTAGCCCCAAAGAAAATAGTCCAATGGCGTTAAATCGCACGAACGAGGCGGCCATTCCACTTCGGCCTTTTGAGAAATGATGCGATTTGGAAAACGTTCTTCGATTACCGCTAATGTTTCAGGTGTTGTGTGTGGTCTGGCGCCGTCTTGTTGAAACCATATGTCGGATAAGTCCATGCCTTCAATTTCCGACCAAAAAAAATACTGCAACATCTCACGATATCGCTCGCCATTGATGGAAACGGCTCGACCATCATCATTTTCGAAGAAATACGGCCCGATGATGCCGCCGGCCCATAAACCGCACCAAACAGTGCAACGAGCTGGATGAGCTGACACTTCTTCAGTTTCTCTTGGATTTTCGCTTCCCCAGAATCGACAATTTTGGCGATTCACATACCCATTCAAGTGAAAATGAGCCTCATCCGAAAAGATCACTTTCTTCAAAAAATCGGCATCCGCGGCCTCTTTTCCTTCGACCCATTCGACGAAATCTCTTCGTTTTTCGTGGTCCATCGGTTCAAGTTCTTGAGTGAGGACAATCTTATAAGCGTGTAGACCCAAGTATTTGGTGAGAATACGCCATGTGGTCATCCTAGAGAGGCCAACTTGTTGAGAACGTCGACGAACCGAGGTTCTTGGCTCGTCCTCCACACTTTCACTCACAGCAGCAATATTTTCGTGCGAGCGGGCCGTTCGCATACGGGTGATGGTTGATCGTCTAACACAGAGCCAGTACGCTCAAATTTCTGCACCAGGCGACTGATGGTGGACACATTTGGTCGATTATTTCGGCCGAAAAATTCACGAATCGCACGAAACGTATTTTGCAAAATAGACCCATTTTCGTAATGGGATTTAACGACTTGAACGCGTTGATCTTTACTTAATCTTGACATGGTTATAAATGGTATAGATGGACGCTTCAAACTGACATTCCAGTTTGACAGATCGGGGCATCCATCATGAAATCCCTATTGAAAAACTTTTTGCGTCCCTATTGGGACATCCTTTATATATACAAACTCAAAGGAACCATATCATTTTCGTGTGTATGTACTTCAGCGACTACAGTTGAACGCACACCCCATCAATT